CAGCTAATGAGCAGAGGTTCACAGCAAAGATACCACCTTCCCATTTGATCAGACTGTGGCATGTGGCCACTTTTGCTACTATTTGTTTGCAAGTAGAAAGCTGTTCACTTTTCAGATGAAAAGTCGACAATTCTAGGTCTCCATCCAGAACTCAGTTTTAGTTAATAAGCCCAGGTGTATACTTCCCTGAATGAGTTTGTATGTCACAAGTTGTACATGTCCATCACTTTAGGTAATGCAGCCTCAAGGCACGACATGTAGTTCATAATGAGTCATCTTGCTGCATCGTTAGATCTACTGATTTGACCATCTCAACTGAGTTAGTGGTTAGGCTACTAAGTGACCACAAAAAAAGAAAACAAAAAAAACCCCACATCTTACAAGATACTAAATTCCATATGCACTATATTGCCAAAAGTATTGTGACACCCCTCCAAATCATTGGATTCAGGTTTTCAGTGAAATTTCCTTGCTACTAAATATTCCACAGTCAACTATTAGTGGTATTATAAAGTGGAAGCAACTGGGAACAACAGCAACTCAGCCACAAAGTGGTAGGCCAGGTAAAATGACAGCGCAGGGTAAGCACATGCTGAAGTGCACGGTGCGCAGAAGTTGCCAACTGTCTGCAGAATCAATAGCTACAGACCTCCAAACTTCGTGTGGCCTTCAGATTGGCACAACAACAGTGCGTAGAGAGCTTCATGGAATGGGTTTCCATGGCCGAGCAGCTGCATCCAAGCCTTACATCAGCAAGTGCAATGCAAAGCTTCGGATGCAGTGGTGTAAAGCACGCCACCACTGGACTCTAGAGAAGTGGAGACATGTTCTCTGGAGTGACTAATCACGCTTCTCAGTCTGGCAATCCGATGGACATGTCTGGGTTTGGCTGTTGCCAGGAGAACGGTACTTGCCTGACTGCATTGTGCCAAATGTAAAGTTTGGTGGAGGGGGGATTATGGTGTGGGGTTGTTTTTCAGGGGTTGGGCTTGGCCCCTTAGTTCCAGTGAAGGGAACTCCTAAAGCATCAGCATACCAAGACATTTTGGACAATTTCATGCTCCCAACTTTGTGGGAACAGTTTGGGGATGGCCCCTTCCTGCTCCAACATGACCGCGCACCAGTGCACAAAGCAAGGTCCATAAAGACATGTATGAGCAAGTTTGGGGTGTAGGAACTTGACTGGCCTGCAGAGTCCTGCCTCAACCCAATAGAACCCCTTTGGGATGAATTAGAGCGGAGACTGCGAGCCAGGCCTTCTCGTCCAACATCAGTACCTGACCTCACAATTGCACTTCTGAAAGAATGGTCAAACATTCCCATAGACACTTCTAAACCTTGTGGACAGGCTTCCCAGAAGAGTTGAAGCTTTTATAGCTGCAAAGGGTGGGCCAACTCAATATTGAACCCTACGGACTAAGACTGGGATGCCATTAACGCTCATGTGCGTGTAAAGGCAGACGTCCCAATACTTTCGGCAATATAGTGTATTTATATTGTTTTTTTTGTTATTCCCAGCATCATATGTGTTGATCCCCATAGATGAATGAGCAATAACAACACTCAACATTAAACTCTGACACTCAAAGTCAGCATCTCAAGTTGCAGGTTACAGTTTTATATGCTGGACAATCCTTAAAAAAAAAAAGGTTTATTTTCTCTTGATAGTGTGATTCTCTCTACAACTCCAGGATAACCTCTTATAAAGAGGAAAGGATGTGTTTCTCAGAAAGGAACAAATCACAATCAAGAGAAGCCAAAAATGGGTCATAACAAGGCCAGGGGAAAAAACAATGTGCATGGCCTTAGGCTGCTTCTCATCATGAAAAAAAAAAAAATCAGGTCATGGGCAATCTACACACCAAAAACACTCGCACTCTTAGCGAGGCAAACAATGAATGGAAGCCGAGATAGAATTTGAAAAAAAATTAAAGCTTAAAACACAGGGAAATATTGTCCTAAACTAGTTGCAATTACGAAACGGTAGAACTGAAACAGGTGTGCCTCTAGATTCTTGAATAAAAAAAATAAATGATAATGTAGTCTTAATGTGGGAAAAAATTGGTGCGCTCATCAATAGATAATCAGCATCAGATTCTTATATAACCAGGAGGTCAAACTCAATATTAAGAACACACAACTTTTAAAAAACAAATTAGTCCAAAATTGGCTCACGTTTACATTTAAACAAGTTGATTATTTTGATTTTTTTACAGAGAGCAGGACACACTACATATAGGGAATTAAAAGGCAATTTCACAGCTAAAGAATGACCTGGAAATCATTATAGCAGCAATTGACACTTGATTACTTAACAATGATGAAGACAACAGTTTTTTTTTTAAATTGGACCGGTAAACAACTAATCACAAATCCAAAAAATAAAGCAGATACTACTAAAGGATGTCAGATTGAATTTTCCAATAATCTACGCGACTTTTAAGGTCTACTCCATAAACAAACATCTTTCCGGTCTAGTAGCAGTTTGTTAACCTGGCAGGCACAAAACATTCACTGGTTTGGAAAAAGTCATATAGAATGCAGTAGAAAGGCATTCCAACATAAGTGCAAGCAGGCAACCAGACAAGTACCATTACTGACAAAATAAGCTCATGAAGGTAAGATGCTCATGGGATTGGTCCAGGACTGTACTATAGATAAAAAGATTTAGAATAAGGGTGGTCAAAATGTTGCAGAATTCAAGAGGGAGTCATTGCAATAGAAAAGACAGCAGCAACTTGCATGGACCCAAGAACAGGCTCCTCAACTGACAATGGAACGAGATCAAAGTTATATGCCCACAGCAATTAGGCTGGATGACTATATGGATCATTGGGATTGGTCAACCCTGTTCTGGAGGTTTCAGTATTTGCCACAAAAGACCCTTCCCTGTATCATCTCCTAATTACGGTCACGGTCCACGAATATTCCACCAATTTGGGAAGTGACAGAGAAACAAACAAACATTCACATAATTCATCACAGCACTAGTTCACATACAAGGCTGTCATTAAACCATTAATAAGAAATGTTTTCTAGCCTGTGTCCTCCATTCAGAAAAATATAATTTGTGACAAGTAGGAATGATTTTTTTAATTTCAGAATGTTATACTTTAAAACCACAAAAAAAAAACCCAATGCATTTGATAAGCAATTCCTGAGATTCGTAGCTTGTAGACTTCAGCTTTGATGTACACCTCAGCACAAAAGCAGTATCAAGGTGACAAAAGAGACCTTTTCAGTGCTGTAGTATACAATGAAACCTTTGTTTGCAGCATCCATGTTAACCCCTATTTAAGAGAGATAAGGCAGCACCTGCATTCACAAGCTTCTGTTGCCATAACAATTTGAGTCCTTGATGATGTTAAGACAGTAGAAGTGACCATTATAAAGCACATGATATACCTCCCCAAAAACTAATGGATACCCAGCAGTGATGGACATTGGAAAGAAGAGAATTGGATTTGCACCTATCATTTTGGCAGCATGGTATTTAAGGGCAAGCTATAACACATGAGGGCCCATTTTAAGGAATCTATGCTGAGCCAATTCAGGAAGTCCACATTGGAGAGGGAAATGCAGAGGTTGTGAAAGAGGCTTGAAACAGCATCAACGACCAAAAAAACCCAATCATATTTGATATAAAACTACATCTCTTTCATTGTCTTGGAGTATTTTACTTGAATTTAAAAAAAAAAAGTGAACTCTTGCAGAAACTCTGGTAAAATATTATAATACCTAAATTCTGATAAATTAGTTATAGAAACAGTTCATCAATTAAACAAGACATAACGCTGTTCAGTAGATACACTGGGTGCAGACAAGAACCGGAAACACAATATTAAAATGTATCAAATACATACATAGACATGCTTGGCATTGCACACATCTTGAAAAGAGGGGAATAGGAGCAACCAACCTGGTCACATCTTATAAATCATGAGAAACCATGATTTATGAAGGTTTATTGGCATGGTAAACAAGCTGAACACATCATTGGTCAAACACTGGAAGGTAAATCTTGCCAAAAACCAGAATATAAATTTAGGATAGTTGTTCACCTTACACATTACAAAAAAAAAAAAAAAAAACACCAAAAGGTTGTTGATTAGGGAAACTTACATAGACCACTAATATTAAGGGTGGACCTTTTTCCAAAGTAGAATACCCGATAAAAGTCATACAATGATAGGTTTGACTTTTTTTTCTCTCATACTTGATATTAAATTTGTTCAAATCCGATTGAAAACAAAAAGGTTTAATATGCAAAGTTTTATCATCAACTGCTACAACTTTCGCAAGCAAAATGCTGGTGGTTCATCTAGAGGGTATTCCTTTGAATGAAAGCCCACCTTACGTTGCCTCATGTCTCTCACTTACATGTATGCTGGAGATAGTAGCGATGACCTGGATGTTTTAAGCACAGGAACGGGGAATTTCCAGATAGCAGGAGAGCTGGTTTTCCATTTCAATGGCATGTTGTCACCACGGTACTACAATAACAGTAAACAGCGTTTCCATAACAGACTACCGACTAGGACTTCCATCCCACACACTACTGACATCGCAGTGGATGCTGCTTCTGCTGCTGCTCTGCACACAAGCAAATGATTGCCAATGCCCTCAAACCGATGCTTCCAATCTGTAAAATAGGGTTGCCAGGCATCGCTTTTTAAATCCTCCTGTCCCCTAAAGCGATATGATGAGTATCGTTCTACCTCAACAATAGTGCCACCTCGTTAGGGATGCGTTGACTGCAGTGGATTGTAGGGAGAGGGGAGGAAGAAAAAAAAAAGTAAAAACTGCACTGCACAAAGCAGTCCAATGCAGCTAGAATTTGAGCATGTAAAAATGATATCAGATGCAAATAAACTCTTGATTCTAATGGGATTCTGCTAAGGACACTGCAGCACTTTAATCAGGAAGCTAACATACTAAAAGCTTGATTTCTATCCAGTACAGAGGGAGGGAGAAGTGGATTTGCATAAAATAAAACATACCTACTCAGAATACACTTGTCATCCTCTGAACATTCTCCCTTTGAGCTGCAACAATACAAATGGGATATAAATCTCAGCATAGCCTTAGGCCAGGGCTTGTGAGTGATCAGTGGCTAAATTCAGCAGCCTGTCTTCCTCGGGAGCAAGCTCTGGTCAAACAATGCAAGAGTGCCATTATGAAGGGGGGAAGAGAAGAGAGAGAAAAAAAAAAAATGATCGGTCCTTTTAATCCTTCACTGGGATGCAAAATTGTAACGATGAAGTGGTGCACATTTCTGCAGAACGTACGGCTGTGCTGATGGCTCTCATTTCCCTAGTCTTGTGCCACATTCTGGAAAAGGAAAATCTCGTACGGCTAACATGCTGTGGATTCAGGGATATCTGTGTCTTCTGCAGCAGGGAAGCGTGCTCTTAATAGCAGTCCTTGTAGGGACGTTATCAACAATCTAATTCAATGCTCACCCCTCCCCCTGAACAGATCACAAATTGCCTAAAGTACTGACAGGGAAGCCAGGCATGCAGGTGTCCATCTGGGGCCACTCTGCAGCTCTATGCTCGGTTTGCTGACCTCCAGAGGCTGCTGACTGACAAGAAGATTTCAGACCGAGAGCAGCAAATAAACAGCAATTCAGGCGCTTCATTACAAAAGGGACGGTGTGCAATAGCTAATCAGCAAATAAAAGAACACCAGACCCACAACAATAGACGCCTTGCACGGGCACAATGCAACACCATGCCAGTGGGTTCTTTTTGCAATATTAATGCCAGGGACGTATTTTGGGGGATTTCTGCATATACAAAAAACGTTATCATTAATTACATTTTTATTCACTTAAAAAACTCAGCCTTCATGGCATCATTATGGTTTAATCTGCTTGGAATAATACTGAACAATGATTGTGTTATCAGACGTGATCACAAGTAAACAATCTGAAGGTGAAAAAAAGATGGCATATTTTTGTGGAATCACAATAAAAATAATAATAATAATCATAATAAATAATAATAATCATAATAATAATAATAATAATAATAGGGACAAGCTTTTATTCATGTCCAGGAAGGTTTTTCTTCCCTACTCAAAATATGTGATTTGACAATACAGACATGTAATCTACTGATTCATGTAAAGTAAAAATTGTAATTCACACTTTTAAAAAAAACTTCTATAAATGAATTAACTTGGCAACCACTAACACACCAACCAGGAAAGTCAAAAGCCAAATTGATCCCACGAATCAGACACAGAACCACAATTTTCAAAAAAACAGGTAATATGCACTTTCAATGGCGGCAACAACAAAAATATCCAAAAAGAAGGCACCAGCTATAAATGTTTAGGACACGGGCTACACAGATTCTGGGGTTTGTCTATCTTTGGTTTATTTGCATGATCCAAAAGCTACGAGTTCTATATGCAGACTTCCTCTCGTATTCCCAGTGTAGTCAGGGAATATCATTGCTAAAGTGCATCACAGCTATGTACCCTGCAAGGTTCAGCAATATGTTCAAGCAGCAGTATCTCAGACCTAGGCATCTGGTTTGTTAATTAGTAATACGTTTATGGCATAACTGAATGCATGTCATTTTTGGCAGTAATTTCTCCATTGCCCAGAATGTCTGCAGAAAATAACAAACACGTCTACCCCTTCCAAAATGCTATCAATACTAAAACAAAAAAAACAAGTCCCCAGGAAACCAGAGTTATTACAACTCACAACTGAATATGCATATATGAACCGAAGTTCCTGTCTGTCTGCTAGAATACATATACAGTATAGCACATGTATAGTTCTCACCTCATAGTTCTAGCCAACCTGTGACAATGAGACCGTCACAGGTCAGCTCAGTAGATCGGGAGGTGAGCGAACACATACCGGCGTTCGCTCACCTCTCGATCCTGTCACGGCTCTCTGCCATGGCAGGGGAGGGGCTGGATTCCCCCTCCCCGCTCCGATCCGCCAGCGCTGACTGGCAGATCGGACAGGGCGGGCACAGCTGGCTCTGCCTCTAGATAGTCAGAGTCAGCTGTCACTCACGCAGCTGGGCGGATCCAGACAGAATTGTCGGAATCCGCTTTAGCTGCAGCGTCTTGGTATACCACGAGCAGTAGCTGAGCTTAGGGTGACGGGAGGACGCTAGTTTGTGTCCTCCCGTTACCCTAAGGAGAACTCTGGGGAAAAGCCTTAACCCCATAGTTCTCCTTTAAGTGATCAAATTGTTAAAATTTCAGTTGTGGGCCAGCTTTATTTATGGGCCATTACTCATACACCCCCAGTCTTCTGGGTAAAGTGAACTGAAAGGAGATCCCATTGTTTAGTATCTACTCATTATGAACAAATTGTAATTAAAACCAACCTCATTATCTAGGTTTTAGCGCTGTGGAAAAAAAAGGGTAAGTAATTGGACTCAAAATAGCAATAAACATAAAAGATGTAAATCGTGGGATATCTATTAAGGGTTTCTCAGGTATTTATTACAGGCTTTTATATAGCAGCGCCAGTTTACGCAGTGCTTTACATACTGTGCATTCACATCAGTCCCTACCCTTTAAGAATTTACAATCTAAAGTCCCTATCATACATACATACATACATAGAGACATACATACATAGAGACATACATACATACATACATACATACATACTAGACATTCAGACAGGAGCCAATTAGCCTATCAGCATGTGTTTGGAGTGTGGGAGGAAACTCACGCAATCACACAGAAAACATGCAAACTCCATGCAAATAGTGTCTTGGCTGGGATTCAGACCCCTGCATTGCAAGGCAGGAATGCTAAGCACTGTGCTACTGTGCTGCCCTACTTACAATATCTACGCCTGTTATGAGCTAAATATATTTAGCAAACTTACACAAATCAATCCACGTATGTATTATTCAATATATGCACAATAGAAGACAAACAAGTGTTCGAAAAATCTAATTTGCTGCAGTTAACACCGATCTACTTATACTGCAGACACAAAAACAGAAGGACCTGGAACACAAAGCTAAAACCAGCAACTATAATTGGGATAGTACATAATTGCGTCAGCTTAAAGCACCATCTAGAGGACATAACCTGAAAGCAAAGACTCAAACAAAACAAGAACAACACATATTACAGTGTAATGCATTTCCTGGCTTCAAAAGGAAAAAACAATACCAGGTAAGAATATCTGCAATATCTAAAAAGTACCAATAATAAAGAACGCATACAAAGTTTCAGCAAGCTTTTATAAAAGGAAAACTGCTCTTGTATCATTTTAACATAGACAAGGACTTCCACAAACAATTCTTACGCAGATCTTTCTCTTCAAAGAAATGAATCATTCTATGTTTAAAAACATTGTTTTGTAAACATTTTTATTGTTATTTCTTTTTATGCACGAGCTCTTTATCTCATCCCGCAACATATTACCCACTGTAGAATTTCCTTGGCATCCAAAGCTCAATTCAATAAAACGAGGTTAGAAATTAAGAGAAAGAATACCTCTGTTCTTCAACTGCACACTATTGAGTTTTGATGGGTTGAGTAATCAAATTTTCTCTGAGAGTTCAGTTAAGATTTGCTAGCCACAATCTCCAACTTCAACCCACCTGTAGGGCCCATTTACAGAAGGCCATTGCGGTAACATGAGCATGACTGCAATGCACAGTAAGGCAGGATAAGTATAGTAGTGTGCTGTGGTACCATTCATTGTGAATAGCACCCTAGCACACCTCAGAAATGAATGTGCACTGCAATGAACCACAGCACAGCACCAACACGATATCCTAAATAGGATCCCATTTTGAATGGGCTGCCTAACGCAACAGGCCACAATATGAAGCCATGGATCAAGTACTAGTACAGATATTTTTTTTCCCGGTACTCACCGATACCGAAAGTCCCATTAAGGAAGCCAGGCGGAGTGTATTGACTCACTAGCTAGCTTCCTGAATAGCCTGGAGGATGGGCAGCTTATAAAGACTCGCCACCTGGCTTCCCGATTAGCAGGGAAGCCGCCCCCATGCTTCTCATCACTATGTGACCAGAAAGCATGGAGTCTGTTTTTTTGGCCAATCAGGAAGCCGGGCACCATGTAATGATGCGGCGCCCGACTTCCTGATTGGCCGAGAAGCCAGCTCCATGCTCCCTCGTCATGAGATGACGAGGGAGCATGAAGCCGGCTTCCCGGCCAATCGGAAAACCGGGCGTTGCGTCATTACTTGGCGCCCGGCTTCCTGATTGGCCAGCTTCCCAACCAATTAGGAAGCCGGGCAGCACGTCATTACACGCTGTCACCTCATGACGAGGGAGCATAGAGCCTGTTTCCCGGCCAATCAAAAAGCCGGGCGCCGCGTCATTACACGGCGCCGAGCTTCCTGATTGCTCAGGAAGCTGGCCAATCAGGAAACCAGGCAGCGAGTCATTACACGCTGCACGGCTTCCTGATACCAGAAGTATCGGGCTAGGCATCGGAGCATTTGGGCGAGTACTCGCTCAAACACTCGGCATCGGCTACTATTTTCAAAAGGAACCGGTCCAAATATTCTCGCCTGAACAGTGACAGCAGCCAATTGCCTACAAGCCTTGTATGGATATTCACACTCTGCTGTCAGACTACAATAACCTGGCAGGAGGATACCCTGCTACAGATGGGGATGGGGAAAAAAAATCAAGCATTTTTTCTCATTTAGCCCATGGAGCTGAACGAGGAAAAACAAATAGTGTGTTGGCAGCCTATGGTCCCTAGCTTAGAATGAGATCCTAATAGGTTGGACTTGATGGACTAATGTCTTTATTCAACCTCAAATACTATGTAACTATGTAACTTACATACATGCACAAACATACCAGGGTCAATTTAGACAGGAGACAATTAAAATTCCATGCAGGTGGTTTCCCGATTCGGGTTCACACAGAGCATCACTGGGTAGCTACTAAGAGAATTAAATAATGGAGGGAAAATTTCCCCAACTGGATCTCGGACAGAAATAAAAACCTGACAAATTTTAGCGCTTCTCAAATCCACTCAAATCTCAAAATTATTTTTGGCTAGAGTTAAAGTGCATTTTCACACATTGATATAATGTTATATATTTGTACATGTTTCTCATTCGCATAACTTAAAATCAGTGGTTCTCAACCTGTATAACCTCAGAACCCACATTTGTCCATGGTCATTAAGTTGCAACCCAAGTCGCACCACACTGGAACGCACGACATTGCAGTACTGCGCATTCCGGTGCACGCGATCAAACTGTGGGTGGGAGGTATGTTTGGGGTGCTATTTAAATGCATTGCAACGCACCTCTAGCACCAGAACAGAAGGTGCGATTGCAGTTTGTGATTAAAACACTGACAGACACAATCTCTCACAATCAGACACAATCAGGCATTCATTCACACATTTTTTTTAGGGGTTCAGTGTGGGCTGCCGTGCAGTGTTGAAGCTCCCCCCATAAGTGCATTGCTTGTAAAGCTCCCTTGCACTCCCTGTAGAGAAGGCGGGAGCCAGAATGTGATGTCACTCCGGTAACGTGAGGGAGCTGTAAGCAATGCATGTATGGATAGAGCTCCCTCGCGGCCATACCTCCAGCCCACCCCACCTCAAGCTGACACTCTCGGCGCCAGGCAACATATTTTGAATGGCTG